ATATATATATATATATATATATATATGTGTGTGTGTGTGTGTGTGTGTCGCTATATCTTTCTAGACATCTCATGGATTAATTCACTCAATTTTATTTGTCGTGCAAACTAGACGTGCAAACTAGACTTTTACAGGTCTGGTTCATTTTATTAGTTTGAGTTGAAAATTTAAATTAAAAATTAAATTTATATAAAAAAAATACCATAATAAAAAAATTAAATTTAAATTTTTATCAAAAAAAATAATATAATAAAAACTTAAATTGTAATTTAACTAGCAAAATAAACGAGGCGACAACAACAGGAATAGTTAGTGCTTCCCACGCAAACTAAATGATACAAGTCAACTTGATAAAGGAATTTTAGAGTTATTATTATTAACAACTGTCATGGAGTGGCGTAAATATCTCTACATTGGTCTTAAATTTATTCTATGGGAGGCCATTAATAATTAGTTGGAATAACGAAATGAAATAGTGTTCAAGTAATTATCATTAGTCATGAGATTCTTATACTCAATACATTATATATTATCGCCACCTATGATTATAGTCTTACAATTATACTAAAGCAATTTTATAATCTAATTTCTATCATTATCAGTCCAACTAAAATTTGCCATTATTGATGTATGACATATGCAACATTAAGAAGACGTTTAGTTCATAAATTAGAATCATAAGATTAAAATAATTTTTAATTTACATGTATTTTTTATGAGAAAAAATATTATAATAAATTATGAATTATGATTCGAATCGGGATACGAATCCCCTAACTAAACAACTCCTAAGAGATATCAATTCTGTAGCTGCATAAAATACTTGTGATATTGAGACGACCACCCAAAATTGATTTAAGCATGTATAAAACAGGAACCAAAGAGTCAGCCGATCCTTACCCCGCAAAATTCGGTCAACACGTAAAGAGGCAATTAAAACAATAATTAAATCCAACAGATCAAGTAAAAACGGATAGGTGAGAAATGACTTTTTTTTAAAAAAAATTAATTGATTTTAATATGATATGACGTTAAGCCCAAAGAAAAAATATTCAGCTTCTTAATGCCAGTTGTCCACTCTATTTAATTTTTTTTTTTTTTAAAGTTCAAAGAAGTTAAAAATATATATACATATAAATTATCTTTAATCGCACTGAATTAAAAGGGCACATTTATATATTTTTTTTTAAATATATATTTTAAAAGAAATATGTATTTTTTTAAAATATATATAATATAAAAAAGATACTTATAATTTATTTAAACACTCAGAAGACGTTTGGTTTATGAATTAGAATAATAAAATTAGAATTATTTTTAATTTACGTGTATTTTTTATGAGAAAAAATACTAACAAACTATGAACTATAATTTGAATCGAAGTATAAATCTTCCGACCAAATATATATATCTAGTTCTAATCCGAAACTGAATCAGAGAATTTACTTGTATTCTATATATATGTGTGTGTGTGTGTGTGAATTACCTTGCAAGAGCACCAGGATCCCAAGAAGAAGGAACAGCGTCTCGGACTTCGTCGGAGAGAACAAGCGGATACCGGTCGATATGAACACTGAACAGAGTTATGAAGCACCCATCAAGAGCCAAGCTCTTAACACTGGCTGCATCAGTCACCCAAGATCCACTTTGGAACCCGAACACTGCGTTGAACAAGCCGGACGGAATTTTCCCCGGAACCGATGACTTTCGGTTGAAAATTTCCGACATCTGTCGAGTTAATTTGTCCATAAGATCAGTGGATTACTCGCATAGTATAGGATTGGATAGAGCTATTTGGACAAATTACCTGAGTGAAGTCGAGAATATCGGATTGGTACCGAACCCGATCGCCTTTGTCGCATTTTATGTCGGGGGAAACACCAGTGACTGCTCCGAAGCCAGGCACGGCGAGATCTCTCCTGTCGGCGTCGCTGAGCAGGACTAGCCTCTCTTTGCCTTTGCAGTATTTGAGCCTGAAATCCGAGGTCAAATCGAAGCCTTTCCCGAGACTGTTCACAACCCTCTCTACAATATTAACGTATTGATCACTACTCATGATCTTTTTCTGATGAGAAAAAGAAGATGAAGAAGAAGAAGAAGAAGATAAATAAGTTGGAGATGAGTAGAGAAAAGGTTCAAGGTTTTTAGAGGATATTATGACGAGACTTGGTATATTTCTCTACGATACGTAAAGAAGACGATAGAAAACGGTGCGGCTATACGGACCATAATAATAATGTGTAGGAAGCTTCAATATTATTCTGTTTCTTGTTTTTTAACTAAACATACTTTGACCGTTTCTTCGCCGGTCTACTAATTTCATATCCGCTCATTTTAATTTTTAATTCGTTAAAATATAATTTTATGTGAAAATTTTTATTTTAATAAAAAAAAATTAGATATAATTCTTTTTAAAATTTTTTTACTATAATTAAATTCAACTGTGTCTTTATTTTATTTTTATTTTTCCTGTTAAAATTTAAATTCTTTTTTTTTTTGTTTTATATTTAAAGAATACTTGACTTGATCGAAAGGACTGCTGAGTTTTGCCTCTGGAGTGTAGAAAAGGCCTGCAGTGGAGATTATGAGCTCCACGAATTAATGGCGTTTATGCATAACACGAAATGGAACGTCAACGTCTTTCATCCATAATAATAATAATAATATTAGGACAGATAGCTACAAAAATATAGTTACAAAAATAACCCTAATGTTTAATTAAAATGGAGATTTTCACTGGTGTTTCTAGACAAGACAAAAGTACCTTATTTGTACAAGAAGTGTTAAAAATTAATGAATGTGTGAAACCACCATAGGAAATTATCTCAATTCAAAAAAATTAAAAAAAATAGAGGAAATTACGTGGGAAATATGTCAAAGTTAAACTGATCAATACCCTACTCATCGGAAAAGACAATTGGAAATTGAGTAGTGTTTCTTTCACCGCTTTAATCAGAGGAAAAATTAGATATCTCTGAATTGTAAATCATTGGTTCTCGTTTTTTTGCATTTCTCATCGGGCAAATGAAAGTCAAGAAAACCAAATGGCAATAACTAGTATCCATTGATGGGAGATTGTATTGATCTAAGTTTTTCAATGTTCACGGTTCATCGAATTGACTAGCAATTTATTTATTTATTTATTTAATGATACGTTAATTAACTAAAAATGGATATGCTACAACGACGCCTAATTAGTACGCTTGATTCTATGTGGATCAAAATCAACACAACGGATTTAGGTTTTAGAACTTCTATGAACCCAAAAAATTATCATTATGCTATACATAATAATTTCATAAAGATTTCTAAATGATCCAAACATTTCAACTCTTACTTGATATACATCCTTTTTTTTTTTTTCCCCTTGAGCCGAAAGATATGTTGGCACTAACTTGTTCGGATTTCTGATCTTTTTTTAAGTCTCTAGGAATATTAATATTCATTTGCCTTGATCAAACTCGAATTCTAGCTAGAGTTATATATGAAAAATTAGATACTAAAGCTGAGTCTGATGTTTGGTTTTTAGTCAAAATAACGAAATATGGTTTAATAAGAAAACACTTCTAATAAGTCGTTTGAAACCTGAATCAAAGTTTAAATAAAGATTTATAAAGTCTAGCATTTTTCATGCTTATTACAAAACTATATCATTTTTGTCTCACCAAGCTTTAAAAAGAAATGTGTTTCCCAAGTATTAATTGAAAAGCTATAGCTCTAGTTCTTTAAATCTCTAATACATAAGGTCGCCCAATCTGCTTCATCATCACGAGGGAAACAACCCAAATCACGGGCTAATGCCCCTAAATGAATGTATAGAGATAAAGGAGGTAGGGGCGCATAAAAAAATGTCAAACTAGCCCAAACTAAGATATTAAAATTTAAATTTAAAGACAAAAATGACAATGTCCTGTAATTGAAAGGACTAAATGAAATAACCCAAGAAATGAGGTCTTTTCTGGAAAGGGGCTTAGAATCAGCTGATTAGATAAGCACTCAATAAGCTTTTAGGAGATCCAAGTCAAAACTGAGATAATATTAGTGAACGTTTGGTTCATGGATGCAAAATTATGATTCAGAATCATTTTCATTTTACGTGTGTTTTTTGTGAGAGAAAAACACTGTAGAGAATCATAAATCATGATTCAGAATCATTGACGAATATAAGAAACAAACATCCCAAAATTTAGTCGTTAGTATTGAGAAGGACAACACTTGTTTGGATATTTTCGTCATTGATTCAAACTTTATGGTATATTGTTTGGGGCAAAAACTTTAGGTTTTGTTTACTTGTCATAGTTTGTAGGGATGGAGAATGAAAATCAATCTAATGTTTACTTGTTTTTATTTTGGGATTAGTTTAGCCTCACACAAGTTTAAGATCAAGATATAAGATTGACAATCTCATATCCCGGGTCCGTGAAACTCAATCTTGATATTATTAATAATTTTATAACTTACACCTAACATTCTCTTCATTTATTAACTCTTATTTATAACCTGCACAGCTAGAAAATAAACAAATGTTATGCTTCGCAATTCACATCCGACATGTTTATTAGTGCAAAATTGTAGTAACTAGTAGATTTATGAAACTATATTAAATAGATAGCATATTTAAAAACTATTTAAAGAAAATAACAATTTACCATAAAAATGATTCATTTACGACTAATAAAAAGTAATTTTATGTGGCCAAAAACTTTATTTACATGGAAAAGACTTTTAGAAAAAAAAAATTTCTAATCGTAAATGAAACATTTACTCGATAAACTGCTATTTACTTTAATAATTTTAAATTTTACTGTTTATTTTATTATTTTTTATAAATATACTATTTACTTCATTATCCCTTTATTAGTTAGGATCATTTGTGTTCCTTTTAATATTAATTTTTTGTCGGTACGGATTTCAAATTTTCAAGAGCTATGGCTTCTTTAGAAAGTGTGTACGTAGAAAAGAATAAAAAAAAAAAAAAAAAAAAAAAAAAAAAAAAAAAAAAAAAAAAAAAGAAAGAAAATCGCAAACCATAAACGATTGGGCGGGGCCCTAGCCTTTGTTGGTGCCATGGAGTTTGGGATGATTTTCAAAGCAGACAAACCTCTTTTGACTTCCCTAAGACCGTTCACACGAGAGGTGTGTACGTTGAGTAGATTGTACTTGCTCAACTGAGGTGGTGGTCTATGGTCAAAGAAGAAAATCTATCATTTACCACCACTAATTCCATGTCCTCTACTCCAAATTGCACGCAAAATGACCCGAGTAGTTCTGCAGAGAAGGCAAATTGCTCATCTTATTGAAGAGTTCTAACTTCTAAGCAATTATTACTATTGCATTACGTAATTGTCTCCTCAACCATGGGATCGTGTATAAAATGGATCTAGTTTCAGTCAGTGCGGAGATATTGAAGCACCAGTTAGAGGAAAAAGCAAAATATATATATATATATATATATATATATTATATCTATGTAATCACTGCTGCAAATGGCGTTATGTGCTTAGGTGTGCCCTTTAGAATTGATCTATACCTTTACTTTTGGGTATTGTGTTGGGCTTTTGACATTATTAAAAACTACGAAAATAGTAAGAAATAGGCCAATATGAAAAGTTTAAAAAAGTATATAGGTTAATTTTTAGTTATAGAAATTAATATGTCATAACTTATCAAGTTATGGTTCATAACCAGATAAATTATAGACAAACTTGTCAAGTTATGGTTCATAACCAGATAAGTTATGGACAATAACTTGTCAAGTTATGGTTCATAACCAGACAAGTTATGGACGAAAACAGTAATTTGGCATATTTATTAACTTATGTAAACTATTGGCCTATTAATTTTAATTCATCTCAAGTCTTAGCCTATTTCCCTCTTTCTCCCTAAAAACTATACGAAAATTGTAGAATTTATCTTTAAAAATATATAGGTATAAATTTTTATCTCTTATTTTTTATTAATACCCTTTTATTAATATAATTATTTGATTAAAAAATTATTAATTAATAATAAAAAATAAAACTTTTGATCTATGTATTTTTAAGAAGTATTTATCTTTTCCCCTACAACCATTAACATGGTCCATCTTCCAAGTTGTACGAAAGAAAATTATAATGCGCATTTAGAACTCGTTCCAAAATGATTTTATTTTCGTATGAAAATAAAAATAAAAAAGTTTTTAATTTCAGACAGAAATCATTTTTAAAAATGCATTTAGTAGTTTTATCAAGATATTATTTTTAGTATAAAAAACTGATTAATGTCTCTCTCTCTTTCTCTCTGCTCGAGAAAATAAAAATAAAAAATAAAAAATAACTAAAAGTCATTTTTTATTTCTCTCATTTTACACTAAATTAAAAAATCGATTTCATTTCTGTTTTTTATTTTTATTACGCCAAACGTCGTTTTTAAAAATATTTTTATTTTTTCTTTCTTAAAAAACGTAAAAAATAAAAATGGGATCAATTTCAAATACGGCCGTAATCTTTAACAAATCTTATGTATTATAACCGTATTACTTTCCGAATCTAGTGTCTTTCCAAATTCAATTTTCAACCCTTATTATATTTTGTTTTTCTTCTTTTCTTTATTCTTTGGCTTTAGTACGCCAAACGTCGTTTTTAAAAATATTTTTATTTTTTCTTTCTTAAAAAACGTAAAAAATAAAAACTGGGGTCAATTTCAAATATGACCGTAATCTTTAACAAATTTTATGTATTATAACTGTATTACTTTCCGAATCTAGCGTCTTTCCAAATTCAATTTTCAACCCTTATTATATTTTGTTTTTCTTCTTTTCTTTATTCTTTGGCTTGCTTACTCTTTGTTGACGTATACGAAAACATTTTTAATGAGGGAAAAATTAAAAAGTAAAAAATTGTAAAGGGACAAATTTACATTTTGAAAAAATTGATGGGGGCGGGCCGCACTGGGTCCTTCACAACGCGGCCACCTGATTGCTAAGAGTGTATTTGATAGGAAGAAGAGAGGTGGAGAGAGATGGGGAGAGAAGACAATTTTATTGTTTGGTTAGGTAGATGGGAGAAGGCAGAGGAAGGAAGATGCTATTCTTTTGGACCCACAAATTTTCATCCTGCTATTGATGGAATGATTCATCAAATTTCTCAAATTTTAAATTAAAAGTCTATTT